ATATTATCTCCTTGAACCCCAGTCGGCCTCGGCAGATGGCCGCTCACACTGAGCCTGGTTCTGCTGGAGGTTTCTTCCTGTTAAAAGGGAGTTTTCCCTTTCCACTGTCGCTACAAGCATGCTTAGTGTGAGGGATACCGAGTCATTGAGTCGATGCAATCAACCGGTTTTCCTTAGATAGAAAACTTTGAATCAATTTGACTGTATGATCTGGTTAACTGTAAAGCGCCTTGAGATGACTTGGCACTATATAAATAAACTGAATTGAATATTTTTGCCCTGATATTAAGTTAGATATAATGGTCTTGAAAAAGGATAACAGAGTTGTTAGTTGAGTTATTGAGTTTCTCTACTCATTCAAGTACATTACTTAAGTACAGTTTTTGGTAGGATACTCCGTCTTTTCCACACAAAAAAAAAAAAAAAACAAGAAAAAACTTGACTGCCCTGTAGGACTGTTTTGGTGGGTGGGTGGTATTTAAACTCGGGAGCGCGCGCTGTCAGTGGACGCGCCCCCGTGCCCTCCCAGCGCTGCCTTTTAAAGCAAACTCTCACAGCATGCTATTTCCCACTTGGCCAGAGGAAGGGACACGGTGCGGAGCTCCTGTGTCTTTCATTCCACCACCCTTTCCTTCGTCACCTCCATCCTCCTGGTTGTTCAGTTTAACTCTATAATAGTCTAATTTCCTCAGTTAGCTTGTTTCCGTCATGTATCGGTATTTCGGGGAGCTGTTGAGCCGCTCTGCGGGAAGTGCCCTGGCCTCGGGATGCGTCGATTCCGCTCTCCCGGCTTCCTCCTCCCTGATGCGGGTTCGCCGCTATGCCGACGCGGCCGAGCAGCCCGACGACCCCAACTTCTTTAAGATGGTAGAGGGCTTTTTCGACCGCGGTGCTGCTATCGTGGAGGACAAGCTGGTGGAGGACCTGAAGACCAGGGAGAGCTCCGAGCAGAAAAGACACCGGGTCCGCGGCATCCTGCGCATCATCAAGCCGTGCAATCACGTCCTGAGCGTGTCTTTTCCAATCAAGAGGGATAACGGAGAGTGGGAGGTGGTGGAGGGGTACCGCGCCCAGCACAGCCAGCACAGGACACCATGCAAAGGGGGTGAGAAGCGATCCCTCTGCTCTGCTCACAGTTAGCTTTAGCATGTAGCTTCAGTTAGCAGGGTTAGCTTCCTAAACAAACTTCCAGGCACTGCAGCAGGTGTCCAAACAGAGCTTAACAGTTTCCTCCAACTTAATAAATTTTATTCCTCTTAAGTTTAAATAAAAAAACACATTACTTCTTTATAATAATCAGCATTTTTTGCTGTTTAGTGTAACAGTTTGCAGTGACCTTCCTGTTTACCTGTAGCTGCAATAGGCTATGTCACCCAGGCTGAACTTTACTCTCATTATAAACATGTTAGGAAAAGTTTCCAAAAGAGTTTAATGTTTCATTTGAGAGAAAATGGAAATATTCTAAAAATAATACCAAGATCATATAAGTAGGCTTTGACATATAGATGATTAGAGCTTTTTTTTAATGTGACACATAAAGGATGTACCCCAAACTGACTTTAGATCAATGAAATTGACATAATGTCTACTATTATTTCCCTAATTTATGATGCATTAAATGTTTGGAGTTTTAACAGTGGTGGGAATAATTGACTTCTGGTGGTCCTTTGTGCATATTTTCTGGCTAAATTTGTTAATCTATAATGGGTCTGAGAAGTTTCTGAATAGACCGGCTGAATCTGGTTGTTTTGGTTTGTATCAATGATGATCTGAAGATTTCCACATATTAAGCTGTTTCTAAGGAAGCTGCACAATTAACACTGCTGTGATAAATCCAGCAGTGAAAGTAGGAGCTGCAGGAACAATGGTGGAAGCATGCTTTTTTTTAATCATCATTAACAAAATAATCCTTTGAGCGTTTGGTTACAAAGTTCTTTCCATGCCCCATGTATAATATATGCCTCCTTTTTTAAAATGACTTCCACACATTCAAAATAAGATGCAGCATGATCACAGCATCAAACACCTCTTTTGAATACTTTTCTCTGAACAGGAGTTTTCAAGAATGTAGTGAAATGCTAAAATCTTTCCCCACATAAGTCAGTCAGACAGAGCATTTTGAAAGTTTAATGTAAGCTTGTGGACAGTTACTACTACTGATTACTAAAAAAAAGTGTTTCATTGAAATTTCAGTCTGACTTAAGTTCTTTTCCTGCTGTATGGAGCATGAAATAATGCTACACTGCTGGTCAGCTGGCTTAAAGAAGGCATCTAAGCATCTTTCCTTTTAAGATAGGTTGTTTGGAATTTACTTTCTAGTTGCAAAAACGCTGTCATGTGTGGAAACTACAGTGGTACGCTTTCATACAGGCTTGATACAGGAATAAATGGCCAGCCAATAAAATTCTATTGTATTGCTATGCTTTAATAAAAGTAAGAGTTATATTATACACAAAAAGCAATGATAAGCCTTACTAAATATAAGGTGTTAATCTTATGTTTGTTTACTGCATACATACCACTTTATTCAATATATTTGTTTACTATAGTACCTGCTTATGGTTTTATATATGTAAATGCTTCTTTTGTCAAATTTAAAGATGGGATTCTCCACATGACTCATTGTAGTAGCTCTAATAATTAAAGTGGCTGCTTTGTATATATTTTAACTTACAAATGTGTTTGGATTTGAGCTGGAATATTTGAATAAATGAGGGACGTGAATGGAAACAAATCGGGCACATGTGTGTAAAGAAGGGAGGAGGTGTGTTTGAATAGGCACTCCTATTTATTAGCAGTATTAGAGGAAGGGGGGGCCCTCTTTGTAGAAAGGGAGACACCTTTCTGTTTGTCAGCCCTTTAGTGTTCATGGTTCAGTGCTGAGAAGTGGACGAAAAGGTGTGTAAACTCTTCAAACCTCTCCTGTCTGTAGACATATTCGGGGAAAATCAAATGTGCATAATACACAGTGGAGAGTTTGTCTATAGAGAGAGCATTAGCATCTAAACTTTAGATTGCTACTCAATCATTAATGCCACATGGTAAGTAACTATTGCCATTTGCTCCTCTAGATGACTGAGTAGTAATGGGTGGTCTTTATGAATAATTAACTCTCTGTGAGTCTGTGTCCCATTGTAGAAATTTAAAAAAGTTGCATAAAAGAAGTCTGTTTGTATAATGAATACCTGTCATGAGCAGATGGGGTCCTTAGATTGCTAAAGTTGTTTTTTGCATAATATAACCCCTTATGTGCATACATACATGGTAAGCTAACAGCTGCAGAGGTAGGTCAAACTATTTTCCCAAAGTTTAAGTTGTTCTTTAATCTGTTCTCACAGAGTAATAAAGATATAGAATAAAATATTGAAAGCACTATAGACAGTTGGACACTTTAGTATCAATGAGGTCTTTAAAAATGAAGCTTGAAGAGTCTAAAGATATGTGATTATCTCTGTTAAATGAAACGTTTTTAAGCTTTTTCGTGGTCCATACAGTGCTCCCCTGAAAGAGTGAGAAGAGCTTGAGTAGATGATGGGAAAGCTGCATGTATTACAGGAGAGTTAACGGGAACGATGGTCGGTGAGGAAGTTATTACTAAAGGCTGAGATACACACAGGCTGATTTGGCGTCTGATTGGATTGAAAAATGGATCGTATCATGAAAATGACATCTGGCTGAAGAGACACGTGGTGGCAAAGTAAAACACGTCCTCTTTGTGGGGAAAATACAAAGTGAATCATCTGAATTGCAAATTAAATATTAAATTAAACAGAATATTTTTTTATTTTAAAAGATTTTTAGTAGGGAATTTTGATAAAAGTTTTCAATAGATTAATTGATTACTAAACAATCTCTATCTGCCGCCGTAAAATAAGCAAGGCAACAAATGTTTTTTGGAGTTTATTCAAACTATCAGAGATCAAGACTTTCAACCGATTACTGGAATGCTGAAAATGCTCTGATTTCTCTTTGTTCTCATAAAGAACAACATGAACATGAAAAACAACATTTTATAAAAACCTAATTGCTTATTTGAAAAGTCTTTTAAAGGTAAAAGTAAGTCTGTGTTTAATAGTTACTGGTGTCCTACAGGCATCTACCTCATGAATGGTAAAAAAAAAAATTGTTTCAGGGTTGTTCTTATATTTGCTCATATTTTAACTAGTTTAAAACTGATATCAAAGTCGAACACGAACCAGAGATTTGAAATCATTCATAACGCTGTGATAGTTCCTCTATAAGATTTATAAACTGACCTTAAACTGAGGTGTTGGGAGTCACTTTATCACTTGCTGTTCCTGGAATCAAACTTCCAACAGTTTATATAGAAATCCATCAGATCTTACTTTGAGTTAGAGAAAAAAAAATTCTATTGTTTTTTTTTTTTTTCTTTTTTGACATTTCAGATGTGCAATATTTTGTTTCTGGTTTCCCATTATTCAAATTGGGATGGTGTAGCTGTTGTGTTGATTTTAAACCAAATTAGTTGATGATAAGAACATAAGCAACAGCTGTTATCTTTCGTGCCGTTTAATGATTGATCCAATGTGTAGACCCTTGGCTAAGGTCAGATCAAACTACAAAGTGCAGGTGTCACTGTGTGTGCGCACTCATCCTCCCCTTTAAGATCCAAAATGACTAATAGACGTCAAACCGGACATTTACATGCAGGATGGGTGGGTAGGGGTATGAATGATTTTCATTGGCTGCATAAAGATGGAGTAAATGTGTGGGACGATCTGGTGCATCTCTTGTCCTTCAGCTAGCAATGCACCAAAGGTCAGGGTCTGCTGATTTCAGCTCCATCAGCAGGTAAATCCTGAAATATCAGGTTTTGTTTATAAATGTTGCAAAACGGGGGGAAAAAAAAACAACAACTCCTGCTTCATTTATGCAGTTGCTAGATAAAGGATGAGATCCAAAAAATGAGGATGTCCGTTTAATTAAAGACATCATGTGGAAGATTTACCCCCCTTTTTCTTATTATTTATATATCTGAGAGCACTGAGAAGTAAAATCAGAGATGCACCTAAAGCTGTTAGCCGGCATTAAAATATCTTTCTAATGAAAGGCCTACAGCCCTTCAGCAGTGGTTTAATAAATAGAATCGATGCCTCCAAAAAAAAAAATCCTATAAACTGTAATTTAGTTTAATTATGGCACAATGGTTTAACAAGTAAGTTGACTGAACCCAAGATTAGATCAGATCTTCCTTTGTTATTGCTCAGAGGGAGAATAAAATCTTTACAACAGTCAAACTTTATAGCAGATATAAGAATATGGTTTTGGTGCAAGGATGTTTTAATGGTGATAATGAAGTAGCGGTAATTGCAATGATGGAAAAGCTTATTAACTAGCTGGACCGTATAGAAATATGTATAATATCAAAGGTCTGATTGGTAAAGAAGCTTCAATTTTTAAAATGAGATTATTTTTAGAAGAAAATACTACATAGTATATTAAATGAAATGTGCAGCTGGGTAGGATAAGCTGAAAAATGGCATGTAATAATTGTGCAGCAAGAGATTACTTCAAAGAAAAATGCTAAAAACTATAATTTCCTATTTGTTCCGAGCAGGGATGTTTACCAGCTGCTGGAAGGGATGATAACAGCCCAATTATAGCCAGATTTTACAGCCAGATTCTGTCCTTTGTTAGAGCAAAGTGTTGTAGATTTGCTTGGCTGGATGTGTGGGTGGGGGATGGATAGATGGCCATGTTTCCCCCCCCATTTAATTTGATCAGTATGCTCTGGCCTGAGTCAACTCGGCTGATCTTTGGATGAATGGAAAGGAAGAAAAAGGGAAAGGCTCAGCTGCTGCGTTCTCAGAGATGGAGCTTTGTTTTATGTTTCTTTCCTGTGACCTTTTTATTTAAATCTATTCTAATAATGTTAGTCCAGGATTTAAAGGTTATTCTGCAGAAACCAACAAAGAAGGCATTACTATAAGCTTAGATTTGCTTGCTGCTGAATTTGCAGATGGAAAAATGCGACGTCACCCTCAGGTTTCTCTCAGAGCTCTTGCTCTGGATGTCCTATTTTTATAATTGCTCTTAAATTACACTCACACAGGCTATGTGCCAGTAAGACGGAGCGGTTTAAAACGCATAGCCTGGTTTATGATCTCACTGCAGGGCATATGTTACTGTAGCGACTGTAGTAAACGCCAGACAACAGGAAGCGATGAGTGCAAGTTGAGGGATGGGTTCAGAACGGAGGCCTGTGATTGGTTCACTCAGTTTCCACCCGTGCAGCAAAGCACACATGAATTCAGCGATGGGCACCTGAGTGTGGAGTGATTTTCGACCCCTTAATGTGGTGTTGAGTAATCATGAGTACAGTGTCCTTTGTTTTACCCTCCTATCTAATCTGTTTGCTCTTTTTTTCTGGCGCTGTGCTGCATTTACAGCAGACAGTATGTGGAAAACAAACGTTTTAGAGCTTTAACATATCAGGTTATCTCACAATCCACTGACACAGCTCTGTGGCTGTGACTTTGATTCATTTAAATCTTAGAAAAAGCTGCTTAATAGTATTTATTCTTAATAATTGGTCCTAATCAAATGTTGGACATTGAGACAGAAGTGAAAAACACTGTACAGTCCCACACAGACTGGGATGCCTGTTTATTCGCCATATGTTTGCGGTGTCTGTTTGTCTCTTTGGAGTATTTTTGTTAATTGCTTCCCTGTTGGTGCTTCTTCCTCAGGTATCCGTTACAGCACCGATGTGTCTGTGGATGAGGTGAAAGCCTTGGCCTCTTTGATGACCTACAAATGTGCTGTTGTTGGTTAGTTTTTTTTTTTTTTTTGTATTTTGAAATCTACATCAAAGAGCTACATTTGCACTTTTTCATTACTGCTTATATACATGTTTACATCCTAATTATGCTACCCAATAATAAAACTTGCTTGCTCTGTTTTTTAACTGTAAATAATGTAATTCTGCACCATACTTTCCACAGATGTGCCATTTGGGGGTGCTAAAGCTGGAGTAAAGATCAACACCAGGAACTACTCTGTAAGACTTCTTATACTTTTCCCTTCCCTTTCCTCAGATGTGGAAAATAAATGCATGTTTAAGAATCATACATTTAAAGTTTTACTACTTTTTATGTGCCGCTGCACTCCAGGATTTAGTTCATAAGGAAAATTTAATATTTTTTGCAGGATAATGAGCTGGAGAAGATAACCAGGAGGTTCACCATTGAACTCGCCAAGAAGGGTTTCATTGGTAAGTCTGTCTGGTTAGGATAGTTTGTTTGGGCTCAGTTTCTTTGAAGTTTAATCGAAAAGCTTATTCAGTTACTGAGATAATTTGTATATCCCTTATGTTTTCTAAGAGATTTTATGGACTATATTTTCTCACTTGGTTGGACCTCCTCTTTTTTAGACTTAACTTTTCCTTTAAAATTCCTGTATGCAGTACTGTGAACAACCAGTAGAATTAGCTTTTTGTGGCGTACACAGATTTTTTTTTTAGGCAATCGATGGTTTTCTGATGGATGGCTTTCTAGTTAACAGTGTTCTCTGAAAATATGTTGGCCTTCCCTGAGTCAAAACCTAAAAAATTTTTTTTTTATTAACTTTGATCTATAATCATTGAATCGAGAAGTAATAAATGCTTGAAATGCATAGTTCTGCATGTAATAAAATAGTATGATGTACAAGGTAAACTTTTGAATACCAGTTTGCATTGTAAATTAAATGGGTCAACAATGAAAATATATAAAAAAAACATTGAACCAGAAAATGAAACGACTAATAGAAAAGCAAACGAAAACTTCTGCTTGCTCACCAAAGGAGGAGAAAGTTGATGGAAGCTAGCTGTAATTGCTAAGCTGCTAAATGTACAGCACAAACATAAATTAGCTGGTTTAGCTTTGTGTTTGGGTCGCCCTTAACTGGTCACAGGCAGGTTTTATGTGTGTTCAGTGTTGTTGGTTAATTGCCTAGATCCAGTTTTAACTCTCATTTGGAGATAATTTTCACTCAATTTACTGTACAGTAAAGAGGCCATCTTTCCTCCTCCTCTACTAGTCATGTTTGCCTCTGAGTCGGAGCCTTCCTGCACCATAACTCTAACTGTTTAATGGAACTGCCTCTCCCTTTCTTCCTTCCTCTTTGTTTTCCAGGGCCTGGCATCGATGTCCCAGCTCCAGACATGAGCACCGGAGAGAGGGAAATGTCCTGGATAGCTGACACTTACGCCAACACCATTGCACACACTGTGAGTTCTCAAACAGGCATAACCGATCTTGTCTCTTAGATGGAAATGTGGTGCACGCTTTTTTAAAAAAATAGGCCGAACCAAAAACAAGGAATGAGTCACATTTAAACCACGAGCACTGATTTCCTGCCTCTCCCTTCCCAGCTGACCTAAAAGACTCCCCTCCCTTTCTCTCTTAAAGCAGCTTTTGAAATTAAAGCGAGTCTCTTTTTGTTGTTTGTTCATCAGTTTCAGCCAAAGTCATGAGGGGAAAAACAAATTTCCCTTCAATGCTTCCTTTCTCTCATATATATATTTGAAAGCATTTGCAAAGCAGAGAGTTCTTTGACCCTCCCAGGAGTTTTTTTGTGGTTATCTTGTTTTGGGAAGTGTATAATGGGAGTCTCTGCATAGAACAGAAGCTTAAAGGCTGCATGGTTTCAGATCCATGAAGATCAGACCAGATTCTTTTAGCTAACCAAACTTTTGACCGTATCTCTTCAGTAATAACTTCTCCTTTTATTTACCTAAAAATGCATGCTTAAATATTTAAAAGAACCCTAGCATGATTGAAGATGTTGTCTCTACAACAAAAATGCTTAAACTTTAGTCATCCCAGCGTTGGTGCAGTACAAACCCCTTGTTAATGAGCTGCAAAAGAAAGCATTGGATTACTGGGAGTCTATTCTAACTTTGTAGAGCATTGGGTCAGTGTGCTGCCCCCTCCCTACCTGTTTCTGTTCACTGACAATCGGGTGACTCACAGCAGTTTACTTCACTTTTTTTTTTTTCTTTCTCTCCTACCACATGAAAGTCTTGAACTATTTACATTTGCAAAAATCACAGTCATTAATATGGTGGAAACTAATGGAGAGCCACTAATCATACTTTATTGGTGCTGTTTTAAAAGCTATAGGGGATAAAATAGCAGTATGTCTGCTTAGCTGGCATCTGAATGTTTTGACCATATATACTGTTTGTTTTTTTAGATACGTGCTTAAGTTTAAATAGATTTCACAAGAAATAAATGAATGCAATGAACTGTGGTCATGAAACTGCAACATAAAGTTGTGCATCATCAGCATATATCAGAGATGGGGGATCTGGAGTCATCAAGTCATCTCTATGTCATGTATTTGTTCTGACCAGGTGAGTCCAATCTGCACAGATTAAACCAGATTGGACTCACCTGGTTCAGTGGCTGGGTAGAACAAATACATGACAAAGAGATGACTTGTTGACTCCAGATCCCCCATCTCTGGCATATATATAGTAAGTTTTCTAAAGCTCTATAATCCAAACAATTGGACAGAATGTCATTGAAAAAACATTGTTTGTGATCCATTCCTTGGAAACGCAGACAGAATTTTTATTTTATTTCTTTAAGGTTTATAAATTCCCATTTAAAGTTGTTCATATCTGCCAAGGAAGATCCAGGCTTATCTAGAATATAAAACGATCCTTCCTACTTTTCCAGTCTTAACCAGCATATTATGATTGTCTGCTTTAAAAGCATTAGAAATGCAGATTTTTTTTTATACAAAATTATAACATATAAAATTATATGAAGAAGAGTCTGAGAATTAGAGGGATGTTCACCTAAAATCCTAACATCTTATAAGTTGATGTTATTGTGATGATTAGTGTTGCACCGATGCCATTTTTTGTTTTTGGCTCCGAGATATGAGATCTGCATACTTCTTAGATGTAAAATAATTGACTAATACAAAGTGAATCCAGTAGAACTTTTTATTGCCTATCTGGGTGACAATAGTTGAATAAACTATTGGCTCTCAAAATGGTATTGGTGCCCTAATTGTTGGTACTGGCAAGATACCGATGCCACCATTTTAGTGCAGGATCGTGGCCCTGTCCAATATTGGTATCGGTATCAGTGCAACACTAGTGATGATAATGATAAAAGTGATGTTTAAAAAGACCCATTACTCCTTCAGTCTTTCTTAGGTAACTGTGTATTTTTTGTTCGGTCGTAGCCTCAAAATCACAAATACTCATGAAGAAAAAAAACACATACTTAAAATCATGCAAGTTATATTGAGCATCTCTTAGCAGCCGCATTTAATCATATTCTTCAACATTTTCAATAACCCAATGGGAAAATGATGAAACAAAGGAAAAAAATAGAGTTTGATGAATTCACGCAGTTTTATTCAGTTTTATCATGTAGTTGATAAATCAATATGCTTATGACTGGAAATTTATCACAATAAAAATAAACGATATGATAAATGCCCACTACTAAAGGTGGTTGACATAAAGATGCACATAATCCTAAAAAACATGGACTTTTAAAACCAAAAACAGGTTATTCTGTTGTTATGGCTTATTAATTCTGTAGGAGGGGTTGTAAATCCTGCTAACTAATTTATTACATTTCTTTTATTAGGATACTCGTAATCAAGGCCCTTCAGAAGACGTCAAGATAAATAAAAGTTTTCGCTATTAACTATTAATTAACAGCAGTTAACAAATGCATCATTTGTAAAGGATTGTTGAACTGTGTCTGTCCTTTAAATGACGCCCTTTGATCCAGATGACTGAGCTTTCTGAGAGGTGACAGATTCCTGTGTGGGATAGCTAACAGTACAGGGCTGTGGGTAGTTTTGTATTGATGTTTGGTGAGATTTATTCTTTCTAAACATAAGGTAGTGCATCCATTTTTACTGCAGTCATAGCCAGACCCTCCCATTGATGTCATCCTCAGGCTGTTCAGTCCATTCATTTTCAAAATTCCCACATTCTCCATCTTAACACAAGAAAAGTCGAACTGAACTTTCTACCAAATATAACTTGGGCTTCAGTGATATGTGACCCCTGTGTGTGCACTGTGCATGTATGTGAACATGTAATGGACTCCTCCTTGCATGTGTTCACAGGACATCAATGCTCATGCATGCGTGACAGGAAAACCCATCAGCCAGGGAGGAATCCACGGCCGCATCTCGGCCACCGGACGTGGAGTTTTCCACGGCATTGAGAACTTCATCAACGAGGCGTCCTACATGAGCATGCTGGGCCTTACACCTGGCTTCCAGGACAAGACCTTCATCATCCAGGTGCATAGTACTCTGATTTATTATTTTATTTTAGAGTTTCTGTATGCAACATCAACTACTGTTAAAACACAGAAACTTTAATTTGAACTGTTTTGAAAAAAAAAAACGTATTTATTACAAATCGTAATACATTGAAATGGGACACTATGTGATGAACTAATAACGATGTAGTGCATCATTTTGTAGTGAGTTGACAAACATCCACAATTATAAAAATCATTTAAAAAAATCTATTTTTTTTTTTTTTTTTTAACAGTGTCCTGTCTGGCAATAAGAATGATTGTCTTGATGCCAAAAAGAGCCCAACAGATTTTACTTTCACAAGTGTAGCAGTATGGCAATTGCCATATTGCTCCACTTGTTTCATGCCTATAAATTGCTTTATTATAATTATGCAGGGAGTTTTACAGTTTATTATATCTTTTTCTTTTTTCGACACCCTACATAAAATGCATTTCAGGCATCAACTCCCTTCAGACATCAGATGGTTGCAGAACCTAATTGAGTCAAAATATTACAAAAACCAAAGAAACCTCACTTTCTGTTTGGTTTTGTGTCAAATAAGTCATAAACTTTGCTACAATCCATGCAGCTAACACTTCCAGTGAGGTAAATAAGACCAATATTCAAGTTTCTAGGTTAGACACAAAAACTCTATCTAGAGGTGAAAACTAACAGGACCCAAGCCGACTGTTGGTCGCAGCAGTGATGGCCTAATTCTTAGGGAATCTTTTTCCTTTGTAGGAACTGGTTTAAGTTGATAGATAAATCTTCATTGCAGGAAAATCATGGAGGAAAACCTTATCATGACCTGAAGAATGTTTTGATGGAAAGTGCAGTATAAATTAAATGTATTATTATTAGGAAGGAGCTCCACTTTGCAGCAGGACAATTAACCTTTTTTTTTTTTTTTTTTGCTGCCGGCTACTATAGAAAGATCTAGATCAGAGTTCAGGTCAAGGCTTTAATAAAAATCAAAAGAAGATTTGAACCTGTATGTCCAGATGCTTTCCAGCAAGTCTAACTCAGCTTTAGGTATGTTAAGGACTGAATGGGCAAACATCTCCAGATGTGCACAGCTGGTAGAGACTTGCAGCTTTTCTTTTCTTTTTTTTTTTCCCTTCTTTTTTTGCTGCAAAATTTGGTTCTGCAAAGTTTTCATGAACCACACCCATCAGATTTGTACTTGTAGCAATTTTTTAAAAACCAATTTCTTTCCCTTCCACTCCTAAACCATAATCTTCTTTGTTTCATGAAATACCCCTGAAAAGTGTCTTAAAGTTTTTGGTTGTAATGGGACCCAATGTGGAAAGGTTTAGGGGTAATGAATGCTTTTGAAGAGCTCTGCACTCAGCCTGTGAACTATTTAAACCACAGAGAGAAGAGAGCTGAAATTTTCCCTCCTCTGCTCATGGAAAAGTATGACTCAGTAAGAGAGGAATGAGTAAACAGCAGGAAAAGCCACACTCTTCAACTTCTAACAACTAGATTTGAGTAAGAAGTAAGGTATTTGGTAGAGAAGTTGTCAGGTCTAACATGCATTCAGTAAAACGCAATAAACTGCATTAAATGTGTTTCTGCAGCTTTAGCCGCAGAGCTGGATTCTCTACAAGTTCTGCTTTCATGTAACTAATGAGGGTTTCCTCACATGCAAGTCGGACATTAACGCATGGGTAGAAAACCCTCAGCAGTGGCCGCACTGTTTTCCCAGAATGCTTTCTATAATTATCGCTTCACTAGACAACAATGCAACACGATACGCTTTCACCAATGCATTTCACTTGGTTTAATGTCTGTTAGGCAGCTGCAGCTTCTTTTTATCTCCACAGGCTTCTTTCTAATATCAGTTATTTGCCAAGTAGATTTTTACTAATGCTTGTTTTAAGGAAGGGTGGTGCTTGCAGAGGTGGTGTTTCTTTGGGACAATGGAGTAGGGAGGTTTGGGAAGAAGTGGAGTCAGGGAGACAGCAGCTCAATCCTGATGTGGATTTTCTCAAACCTAATCCTGGTGTTTGTATCTGGGGATTACTTTGCTCTTAGATTAGTTTTCCTAGAGATTTGTCAGAATAGACAGAACAGGCCTCTTCTACCATATCAGGGCATGTTTTTCTTTTTCAAGCACTCTTAATTTTATGTTTTTCTTTTGTGAATTGTGTGCCTCTTTTTCATTTTTATTGCTGAAATTTATTTTTTTAATTAAAGCATGAGTATTGTTATCAAAGAAATATGACCCCATCTAAAAAGGCAGATTTGTTGTGGGAGTGCAGAGGTTTTTCTGGAAGCCTAGCTTGTTTTAAAAGCTTTCACCTTTACTTGTTTATTGCTTTATTGCTATAGTCTTTATCTCTGAGTATAACCTTTTAAGATAAGTTGCAATAAGATGCATACGTGGATAAAATTGCAAAGAAACCTACAACGGTCACAGAAATAACTTGAATTTAACAAAAAGTAATAGTAAATATTCTATGAAAACAATGAAAATCAGACATTGCATTTTATCCATGCTTCTACAGAATAATAGAAAAGAAATAAAATTATAAAACCGGCCTGGACTGCGAACATAAGTTATTTCAGCTTTATAATTCTTTGTCATTTTTTTTAGCCTCAGCTTTGTATTCATATGTTGAAATAGTCTCTTGAGAAAAGCCTGCTTTGTGTTTCACTCTTTTTGAAAAGAGTGTGTGACTCTAGGATATCCGACTTTTGGTGAAACATGACCATAACAAAACATTTCTTGTGTGGAGATATTTTTTTTTTTTTTCAGGTTAGATGTGCAGATTCTAAGAATATTAAATGTGTTTTAATTTGCTCAATGTCTTGATCTTTTAAATTGACAAACACAGGCTGTATATCACTATATAGGGCGTAGATGATCACTACTTTTCGCTTCCCGTTGGTCACGTAATTCCTCCTCCACTGCAAGGTGCCTGCGCCATCTTTATTAGTCGCCCCCGTCAGGTAGCGACAACCATCCGCTGTGGCAACAAATCCTATGATGCTATGTGAGGAGAGCTCCCCTCGCAAAGCATTCTGGGATATATCTGCTCATCTTTTGACCATGGATGATCATAACTTTACAAAGTTGTTTATAGAAATTTCTAGTCCAATACTTTTTCATCAAATAGGCGTTCGGACACTCGTCTAAATTGCCGTAACCTCTATATAGTGCCCTATAATGTGTTTAGAGTGGACATTCGGACACAGCCTCAGTGATTTTATGTCAGGTATTATTGTTGGACTTTTAATTATTTACTAAAAACAAAACATATCTTATATTTTATTTTATCAAAGTGATCCATTGAATTTCAATAAATACAAAATTGGATATATTTTTTTGTACAATAAGGTTTGCATTTATAGTGTCCAGGTTTATTGAATAGCTTCTATTCAGTATAACCACTCAGAAGAGTTGTGTAATAACTTACTCTGGCCACATGATGGCACCAAAGTGTGAATCATTCCACATTTACCCAGGATGTTTAATGTCTGATGGATGACTGTTTAACTTCATTTAAAATGTAAACCTTTTTTATTTTCTTTTTCTGAGGCCATCAGTTGATCATCCTTCTGTGATTTCTTTCCACAGGGCTTTGGTAATGTGGGTCTCCACTCCATGAGGTACCTGCACCGGTTCGGTGCCAAGTGTGTGGGTGTCGGTGAAATTGATGGAGCCATCTACAACCCAGACGGCATCGACCCAAAACAACTGGAAGACTACAAACTGGTACCAGCTCAGCTGCCTTAGCGACCTTTTTGTAGAATGATTTTATCGCTTCATTTATAAGGAATAAATAATGTCTGCAGCAACACGGCACCATCGTGGGCTTCCCAGGAGCCAAGCCCTATGAAGGGAGCATTTTGGAGGCTGACTGCCACATCCTGATTCCTGCTGCTGGAGAAAAGCAGCTCACACGTAACAACGCCCGCAGGATTAAGGCCAAGGTAAAGACTTGCATCCTCTAACTCTAACTGCATTTTGAATTTCAATTAAAGTTGGACTCTTGTTTCTGTCAGATCATTGCTGAGGGTGCCAACGGACCCACCACCCCAGATGCAGACAAGATCTTCCTGGAGAACAACGTCATGGTTATTCCTGTAAGCAAACCAAACTTAGTTTCTTTAAACAGAAATGAAAGCAGTCAAACTCAACGGGAACTTGTTTAAATGGCAAATTTAAATCAGAATGACTTATTCTGCTTTCCATATCTTGTTAGTTTGAGCTAACAAGATGAATGGCTGTTTGATGAAAAAAAAAAACAACTTCTTGAAATATTTTTATTTGGATCCTGCTTGATATAAAAATCTACAGTCAGGCCTTCATCTTCATGATGAAATGGTAAAATGGTGCTTGTAATTTAATGCTGTACTCTGCTAAAGAAGCAGCATATGGATACAGTTCATAGGTGCTATTCTATTCAATTGAGTTTATTTATATAGCGCCAATTCACAACACATGTCATCTCAAGGCCTTTAACAGTTCACCAGATCATACAGTCAAATTAATCAAAAGTTTATCTACGGAAAACCAGTTGATTGCATGGACTCATTAATTTGAAGGCAATCCCTCACACTAAGCATGCCTGTAGCAACAGTGGAGAGGAAGAACTCCCTTTTAACAGGAAGAAACCTCCAACAGAACCAGGCTTGATGTGAGAAATACGTTATTTCCTTACATTCTAAGCCATATATCAGCACAGGGTCCAAAGTATGAAGATGAGAATCTGTGGGACTGTTCACATTTTGAACAAAGCCAATAGCATCTAGGATAGCATTAAAGGCTGCCCTTAAGCTATAACCTTTAATGTCAGTATGGATGTTAAAATCCCCCACTATGATGACCCTGTCAGTACTTAACACCAAATCAGATAGGAACTCTGACAACTTATTTAAAAATTCAGAGTAAAAACCTGGTGGATGACAAAAATTTACAAAAAGAAGATTTTTTTTCTTGCTTTGCAATTTGGATGAGGAAAGCTAAGGGTTAAATGTTCAAAAGAGTTGTAATTAACTGCCTTTGGACTAATCAGTAAGTAAGACTGAAAAATTGTTGCTACTCCTTGCCTGGAATTTCTGGGTATGTGAAAATTAAAATGACTGGAAGGAGCTGCCTCATTTATGCTCACATAATCCTCTTGCTAATGAGTGATAACAGTAGAGAAGCTGCAGACGTGTGTTAAACTACGACTCTGCTCCCTGGTCTGCACCCTGGGTTGTCAGAGTTTTGAAGGACTAATAAATTCGTCCAGATTCCTAGAAAGAAAAGCAGGATGGATGCCACCCTTGAATCAGACCAGGCTTTCCCCAAAATGACTGCCAGTTATTAATGTAGCCCACGTTGTTTTCAGGACACCACCTAGACAACCAGTGGTTGAATGACAACATGTGGCTAAACCTGTAATCACTGGTCAGATCAGGCAGGGGACCAGAGAATATTATTGAGTTTGACATTGTTTTGGCAAACTTGCACACCAAAGCAGTTTTAGTTAGGATTTGATGTCGCCCGTTCTGGTCCCCGGCAAACATTTGACTATGGTCCCTGGTGTCTCTAATGTCACGTTTCTGACTATGGAGCTGCCAATCACCAGACTGGGCTTCTTACTGAGTGCGTCACAGAGGGGGGGAAAATCTGTTAGAAACTTGCACTGGTTGGTGGTGACCAGTGGGCAGAGATCCACGACTATGCTTTCTGCGTAGCGTTGCCCAATCGCCTGGCTGCTCAGGCACTTTTGGAGGACAGCTACGTGGGGGGCCTACTTTAACTCCAGGATGTTCAACAGCCTGAAGCCTGGATTCTAACTCTGACACCCTCGCCTCCAAAGCTAAAAAAATACTACACTTATTACGCATACCATTATCACTAAAGAAGGCAGAGGAATAACTCAACATGTGACCTTTTTAAATATTTATTGATTATTTTTGTAGATTTGAGCTAAATTGAATTCTAATAGTCCCCCCAATTAAAGCGTTGCTGATATATCCATACTGTAATTGAAAACATTTCTTGTGCTTTAACTGAAATACCTTTGTCTTAAAACATTGCAGAGATTACAAAAATACTCCATATTTTTGTAATCTCTGCAATGTTTTGAGATGTGTTAAGCCATTTGGAAATGTTCATATGTCCCTTCAACCATATGAACAAGTCCAGAAAACTGTCTGTGTTTTCAGGGAGAATGTTTTTTCAGACTAAATAGACTCAAAGTTTTCTTTCTAAAGAATATAAAATCTGTTCATATATTTAGTCTGAAATGAATACTGTGAACCCATGTTTTTCAAGGGGTTACATTCTAAAAAGAACCTGTGATAGCTGAAATCTACGTAGTAACCTTTATTTTTTTACAATTATTACAAACTTATTCAGGCTTCCTTCTTGTTCATCAATCCTTCTGCTCCAGCTGTAATTGCAGAGGCGGTTTCTCCGTGCACAGAAACAATTTTAAGTTACGTATTCAGTTATTTTTAAAGTAATGTCTGTTCCTATAGTTTTGCATTTGAGTTTTATTCCAATCATTATTCATCTAATCAGAGAAAAACGGATGAGGACACACAGACCTGAAAATCACTGCAACTCTTCTTTACTGTTAATGTTTGAAGTTTCTGTTAATAATTCACATATGAAATAAAAAAAACAAACAAAACAGCCATTTTAAAGAACAATTTATTGGACAGAAAAAGTACAGTTTAGGTTTGAAGAAGACATTTTGTTCACAAGCAGAAGGGGAGCTCTAGATAACCTGATGTTTTTCCTCTTTTTCAGGACATGTACCTGAACGCTGGTGGTGTGACTGTTTCCTATTTCGAGTGGCTGAAAAATCTAAACCATGTCAGTTATGGAAGGCTGACGTTCAAATATGAGAGGGACTCAAACTACCACCTTCTGAGTGAGTTCAAAATGTTACCTGATTCTCACATTACCTCCAGAACATGATTAGGGGGGGAAAAAGGTTTGTGAGATTTAATTAGTAAAAACTACATCAAAATTCATAGGAAGGAAAAGAAACTCTCTCTTCTGAAGTTTATATCTAAAATAACTTTTTTTCTGTAATGATCATGAGGTTGATCAGTTTTGGTTTCTATCAGATGACTCGCAGCAGCTGATTTCTTATTCTTGAAGCAGTCTTTGTTTTTTAACGTGGATCAATTGGGCCTCCGTAAAAAATCACTCTAAACCTTCTCCAAAATCTTTCCCTTTTTTCTGCTTTGCCCTGTATGAGACATGTCCCAGTTGTTTGTTATAATTTAATGGTACCTTCTTCTGTCTTCCATGTAACACAGACTCTTACATCAGACTTTGGCTAGCCATAAGCTGCTATTAGTCTGTTGCGCCATGCTCCTGTGTCTTCGATAAAAAACATAAATTTGTCTTCTTCATCTCCAATGAGAGTGGCATACAGAGTGTCCGGGTTTTCATGTAATTGTTCATCTCGATTTTTTTTTTTTCCTGTTCGGAACCTTGTTGTTGAAACCGGCTGGGCTTCTACTGATGATATTTTAGATTTTCTTTTTAAAATGGAGTTCGATTCATGTGGACTTAAAGTTTATTTAAAAGCTAACCTAAGAAGCTTCATTTATTCAGGAACTGGATGGGTTTCCGTTCAAATAGATTGCAGTGAAAATTAGCTTCACTCACCTCTCCGTCCATGTTTTCCAGTTTTTGTTTCATAGTATCTTATGCTGGTGAAGATTCTCAATCCAATGGACTTTGTTTACAAGTTTGACGACGTTTTGCTTCTTATCCAGGAAGCTTTTTCAATTCGAAATGTCAGAAATACTGTTGAGCTCGAGGCTTTATAGAGTGGACCAGAAACGAAGCCTTGTTTGGTCCTCCTCTTAGGACTGGGTGGTTCAATTTGCAGGTTTTCAATTAGCATTTTTCTAATGTGTTTTTTGAACCATTCCAACATGACAGACTGGTTCTTTGCACCTTTTGTCCCCCTGTAGTGTCTGTACAGGAGAGTTTAGAGAGAAAGTTTGGGAAGCAGGGAGGACCCATCCCCATCGTTCCCACCGCTGACTTCCAGGCCAGAATTGCTGTGAGTAACATCTGTTCTCTTGAAGTAAAAAAACTAAGAGGTAGAAATAATTAATTTCTCACAAGAGCAGCACCAGAAAATATTGCTTTGCTAACCAATTTGAGTCTGGTAATTTGTATATTAAAAGTGTGAAGAAATGTTATTACCTAAGTATAGTATAAAGTTAAATAAATGGTTTCTAATCCATTTTAGATGTATCAATTTGATTGACTGGTTGTTAAAAACTTCTTGTTTGCAGGGCGCTTCAGAGAAGGACATCGTTCACTCTGGGCTGGCCTACACGATGGAGCGATCCGCTCGGGTACGTTTGGTGCCTCAGCTTGGAAGGCTGAACTTGTTTAAAAGACCAATTAAAAAAAAAAACAAAGTTTTTTTTACAATATTTTCTTCCAGTTTCACAAACTTGAGAGGTTCAAGAGCCACAATCATAGTTTTGGACGATGGCATGAAGGAATATTAGCCAATATAGTGCTGCTTATTTGGGTTTAGAGTTTGCTGATAATTTAGTTTTTGTATTAAATCAAACAGCAGCAGAAAAAAGGTTTTACTTTCTATTTACAATGTGCACTAAATGCAGTGTGGTTTTAAACCATATATATATTTTTTTTTACAGAAGAAATGCATAAGAATCCTATTTAACAACCTTTTTTTCAAAATATTTGTTTGTCTAAAACATAAGTTCAACCAAGTCTTGCAGTCTTTTTGTTTTTCAATAAAGGAAAGAAACATTTTTAGTTTATTTTCTTCTTAATGGTTGATTTATTTCCTGCTGATTCTTGGTTTTGCACCAACTCATTAACTGAAATGAACATTCTGCTCTAGTGGATCATATTTTTCTCATCTTTATGACCAACAAGCCTGTGCCTTTAATGAAAAATTACCAAGCTTCTCTAACATCTGCCTTCATCTGGTTTTTGTAGCAAATCATGCGCACGGCAAGCAAGTACAACCTGGGTCTGGACCTGCGGACGGCCGCCTACGTCAACGCCATCGAGAAGGTCTTCAAGGTCTACAACGAAGCTGGGCTCACCTTCACATAAAAGGCCCCTCCTGAACCCGCACTGTCCTCCTTTCCTGCTATCCTTCCCTCCCTCCAGCTTCCCTCTACCTCCTCCAACAGCCTTCCGAACATATCAGTTTACCGCAGCTCCCCACACATGCAGCCACAGCCTCGATCATTCTGTTTGCTCCCACATGCAGTTAACCTGAGTAGGAGGGGATATCTGCGTGCAGATAGAGGACTCTGTCGCTTCCTCTGCAGTCATATAAACGTTCATGTTGTATGGAATCCATATTCACGGCGCTCCTATTGTAGTTGCTGTATGCATGTGTAACCGTCTTGTTGCAGCCGTCTCTGATGGCGCTGCTGATGCCTTATTTCAGGAAGAGGTCAAAGCCTAAAGGGAGCTGACCGCTTCAGTCTTATGTTGATTAAAGAGATTTAGATTTAACCCCATTTGAATTAGTAAAATTGGTCATTTTAGTATTTCTGGTGAAAAGATTAGCCATTAGGCCTCTAAATTTTAGGATTTATTTTTTTCACAAGTGTTTTTACTGTTCTCCTTNATTGGTCATTTTAGTATTTCTGGTGAAAAGATTAGCCATTAGGCCTCTAAATTTTAGGATTTATTTTTTTCACAAGTGTTTTTACTGTTCTCCTTTTTCCTCATGCTTTTCCCGTTGCTTTAGCTTAAACTCGCTAGCCACTAATGAGGAGCAGAGGGGGGCGACTCTCTGTGATCGCCCCGTTAAGAGTTCTCCTCACTTTAACCGTCCTCATCTCCTGCATCAAAAGAATTTCTGGAGGAAATTACTTTTTATTTGTATTGTATTCAATTTTTTTGGAAACAAATAAAATGTTCATACAAAGCCGAGTGTTATTTCTTTATACATTCCCCTCCTAGGACTCATCAGAAATAGGGTGATGTGGAATAAAATCAGGGATCTTTCTACTTGGAATTCCCATGCATGGATGCTTGGGATTTCACTGGATGCTTCAGCTTCCTCATAAATGCATTAATCTGGTTTTAGCATTTTTTTCAGCCCTATGATATCTAAAAAAACAAAACAAATAAAAAACAAAACAGTTTCTCAGGATCAGTGTTTTATCATTATTATTTAAAGACTGCAAAAATGTGAGTTTCTGTGAAAAAATTGCGAACAAAGTTCATTTTGGATGTTTGGAAATTATGTAATATTACTATCTGATTGGCCTAGACAGCATAAAGGGGAGACATTCAGCGCAGATAAACACCCAGAGCTTTGCTACAATATTCATCCTTTTGATGAATATTTTTACACTGATGCATCGATATGGTTTAAATGTCCTCTCAAAACCACAGCAGCTAGTTTCTCTTAACTCACACATAAGAAAAACTGATTTATTTTGTTTGTCTTCCAGGAGATATGCATTTTTTAAAATCATGTTCAATCTTGCATTAAATCCTCTGCTCTTCCTGTAGGGTATTGTTTTTTTTTAGCTGTTGCTGAAATCAGCTCATGTATTACTAGAAGTGAGGACTTGGTTTCTGCCATTTCAACATGAAACTTAGAAAATCCTGATCCTGATTTAATTCCTTTGGAAGACATGATCCAAGTTTATTCTTCCCCTCAAACAGTCAGGATTGAGGTAATATGAGGGCTTTTTGTTTTAATAAAAAGGTCAAATTTACGTTGGAACAATTTTATTTTGCAGAAATATTGAATGACAGGCCAGCACCAAGCTGATACCGGATCCAGTAACTCCTTTTTAAATTATTTATTTTGATGCATGAAATTTAAATTGTTTTTGAAAAAAAATATTCAAGATACAATTGATTATCATTGGTTTAATTTCTCAAGTGGAAACGGGCTTCTCATGTTTTCTGAAAATGTCTCACTTCTGATCCAACAGACGTATTCGGTTCTGATGCCTTCATCTAAGCTGAGATTTAATCAGTAAAAACTACATCAAAAGTCATAGGAAGGAAAAGAAACTCTCTCTTCTGAAGTTTATATCTAAAATAACTTTTTTTTCTGCAATGATCAGTTTTGGTTTCTATCAGATGACTCGCTGGAGCTGATTTCTGATCCTTGAAGCAGTCGTTGCTTTTTATTGTGGATCAACAGCTTCTCCTTTCAAAATCCCTTTAAACCTTCTCCAAAAATGTTCCCTTGTTTCTGCTCTGCCCTGTATGAGACATGTCCCAGTTGTTGGGTATAAATGAATGGTGCCTTCTTCTGTCTTCCATTGAACAGAGACTCCTGTAGTAGAATTTGGCTCTCCATAAGCTGCTTTTAGTCTTTCGCGCCATGCTCTTATGTCTGTGGTATAAAACATAAAAGAGTCTTTCTCTTTTCCATGGTCAGTAGCATACAGAGTTTCTGGGTTTTCATGTAATTGTTGTTCTCGTTGATATTTTTTTCCCTCATCGCTACCATGTTGTTGAAACCGCCTGGGCCTCTACATTAAAAGGAAAAAAATAAAACAAGAGAGACATATTAGACGCACCCCAGCTACTTTGATATGAGGAAAAGCAGGTCTGATGATATTTTTTATTTTTTTTTTAAACAGAGTTCGATTCATGTGGACTTAAAGTTTATTTTAAAGCTGCCTAAGAAGCTTCAGTTATTCAGGAATTGGATTGGTTTCAGTAAAAATGAGCTTCACTCACCTGTTCTTCCATGTTTTCCAGTTTTCGTTTCAGAGTATCTTATGCTGGTGAAGATTCTCAATCCACTGGACTTTGTTTCCAAGTTTGAAGACGTTTTGCTTCTTATCCTCTCAATTTGAAATGTCAGAAATAGTGTTGAGCTCGAGGCTTTATAGAGTGGACCAGAAACGAAGCCTTGTTTGATCATCATTCTTGTTTGAACAACGAAGTCTCATCCTCTTAGTTTGCATGTTTTCAAATTTCCGGTTTTTATGGTCCAACCTCTTCTAATTTAACACATCCTGTTAAAGCGATGAGTGATGCTCCCTTTTTACCTAATTTAACCCCATTTGAATTAGTAACATTGGTCGTTTTAGTATTTCTGGTGAAAAGATTAGCCATTAGGCTTCTAAATTTTAGGGATTATATTTTTCACAAGTGTTTTTACTATTCTCCTTTTTCCTCATGCTTTTCCTGTTGCTTTAGCTTAAACTCGCTAGCCACTAATGAGGAGCAGAGGGGGGCGAGTCTCTGTGATCGCCCCGTTAAGAGTTCTCCTCACTTTAACCGTCCTCATCTCCTGCATCAAAATAATTTCTGCAGGAAATGACTTTTTATATGTATTGTATTCAATTTTTTTTGGAAACAAATAAAATGTTCATACAAAGGCGAGTG